ACCAGCACATGGCCAGCCTGTCTCGCCTGTGCCAGCTCAAGCCATCCATCCAACTTTCCACAAGAGATTCTCATGGCCGTTCACTAGGATGCAGAGCTTGATCGTTGGTCCCAAATCCGCATGCCAGGGGACGCAGAGGGCAATCTAAAGTCAACCGTCCCACGAACTCGGCAAGAACCCGGTCACTACCGGCAAGGGCGCGCGCTGGACAAGCATTCGGCATTCGGCTACCGTCTTGAGGCCGATATTGCAGTGCAAGCCCTGTATTTACTACGCGCTGTCGTCGCAGAGTCGTCCGATGTTTCGCATTCAGCCGAGCCATGGCTCCGAACATGAAGGCGGGCGGCCTCTCCTCCGCCGTTGTCGCCGTCTCAGGCGTAGTGGTTGCCGAGTCAGCCTTAACCGTCGTCGCATGTGACGTGATTTTCTGCGTTGCATCAATGCAGTAGTATTTCCTTTCGGTCCTTTTCTTTCGTTCCTCTTCCTCATCAAGACGGCTCGTAGATCTCCTCATTCATGCGCTTTGCAATATCCTCGACGCGTCGGCTGTCTCCCCTCAAAGCGCGCATCGTCTCCCTGTCGCGCGTCTCGTCGCGGAAAACGACCAGCTTCTCAAGCTGGCCGTCGTCATCCATGACGAGGCGTCCGGTGCGGCCGTCGGCCCAGCAGAGCTCGGCCTGCTTCGCTTGGGCGTCAGCGGCACGGACATCGACGAGGGCCGTGCTCCGATCGGCTTCGGAGGTCACCGAGGCGCGGTCGAGACGGGCGGCGGCAGCTCTGCCGAGATCGCCGATGACGGCGGCGCGGTTGTGGTACCGGACGATCTCGCGGCGCAGGGTGCGGGCGAAGCGCGACAGGTCCTGTGTCGTTGGGGCGTCGGCGTCGGCGGGGTTCGGGGCAGGAAGATGGCGCGCCGCGAGGCCACTCAGGTGGATGCACGGCGGGACGGTGTGTCTGTGGACGCGCAGGTGTCGAGAGTCGGGATAGGGACGGTGGAGGAGGACGTAGTAGGGGCGCAGGAAACGCGCTTTCGACATGATCTCGAAGCGAAGACCAAGCACTTTGCCGTTGTCTACGGCGTTCGGGTCCGGATCGCGCATCCTAAAGGTCGTCACGGCGGCGCCCATACGGTAGAGCGATTGCTGGTCGTGAGCGGCTTGTGCATCGGAGCGCGCTAGCAGCTTCTCACGCAGGACGAAGGGGGTCTTGTCGCTGCCATCTTGAAGCAGTTGTCGAATTGTATCGGAGATGACGAGGTTTGTTGCTTGGATTTTGACCTGTTTTTTCAAAGACGCGACTGGGAAGAGACGTCCATCAGTCGGGCTGATGGCGTGATTGGATGGGTGATGAAGACATGCAGCTTACCTTGCTCTCGAAGTATGTTGATTTCAGCCTCCAGACCTGTGCTGGTCTCATCTTCGGACGGTGCGGCCATGAGGAATGACACGACTCTGAAGAAGACAAAGTGGGCGGAGGATGGCGGAGGAAGAGGGGGAGCTGGAGGATGGGAGGATGGCGATGGACAATGACGACGCGTCGTCTCGGATGTTTGGACCGAAGCCTGCGTGAAGCTTGTCGACCTTCCCCAGAAGACGGAGACGCGATGTCCCCTCCATCTTATCGATAGACGGGAAAGGGTAAAGGGCGTGCCCAAAGGGGCATCGCTCCAGGGGTCTGCATTGGCGCACGTTGGCCCGCAGCGCTGTACTGTAACTGTACCTGTACCTGTACCTGTACCTGTGGCTACCCATGCCTGTACCTATACCTAGGAAGGTGCCTGGTCTGGCCAAGTGCGGGCAGCGTTTTGGT